GATCAGTAAAATGGGTCGTTTGAAGTAGGTAGAGTTCTCCCACCTGACTTTGACACACTGAGCATGTTCAGCCTGCGTATTTGTCAGTGCTCTTCTCCTTCCGACGGTTTTATTTGTTGGCTGCAAGTTAAGGCTTCCCCTTGCAGGACCTCTCTGGGTTCCTTCCTCCAGTTCCCTTCTGCTTTGGACTGACTGTCAGCCTTGCATTTTCCTGGCTTGAAGGCAGTGAAGACCACTGGATTGGGAGAGAGCCAGCAAAACAGCTCAGCTGCGGTGCTCACAGCCCTGGAACCTCGGCGTGGATTACGTGTGCTCCACTGGCAGAAAAACCTCCTCGTTCCTGGCTGTGTCAGCTCCAGGCTGAAAGTGGGGGGCAGCTTCAGGGTACCCTGAATTTGCTTGATGACTCTGGCTGGCTGGTCCACAGGTGGCTGTGTTTCAAACGGTGCTGTTTCTTGCATTGCCCTTTTTTTATTTCCAGCGCTGAAGTCAGTGGGGTTGTGCAGGGCTGGTCACTTGTTTTTGAGGTCGTTTGGGAAATAGGTGATATTAAAATGGGGATGGGATGGTTTGTTGTGTATATTGCCTGGGAATAGAAAGTAAAACAAGTTTTGCTTTCTAACAACCCAGTGTCTTCCCTTGAAGTGTTCATGTGCTCAGATTCTCATGGACACGCGCTGTGGCACTGCTTCTCTAACTTATAATGAGACTCCTTTGTACTTTTCCCATGGAATGGCATAATCACAGAATCAATTAGGTTGGAAAAGACCTCTGAGATCATCGAGCCCAACTATAAACCTATAAATCACAACAGAGTTAGAGTCAGAGCCATGCTTTAGATGCAGGCTCTGGGTGTGTGTTAGTCAAGTTTGCACACAGAAGGATTTAGCCCATAGCCTTGCTTCAGATGGCCAGGGAGAAGTGCTATTTATAAAATTCCATGTGCCCAGTAAGAAGTGCTTTTTATAAAATTTCCCCTGTAGTTCAGGTTTCATCATCTCCTACAAGAATTTGCAGTAAATGCATATGTTTCAGCTCACATTTTTAGGTTCTCTCTCTGTGCGCCCCACTTTTTTTTTTTAATTTTTCTTTAATCTCAGGGCAAAGTTTTGACCTAATTTGGAGGGAGGACAGTTTTACCTGGGTGAAAACTGAGTGAGGATGGCGAGGCTTGTCTTGTCATGGTAGAAGCAGAGATAGAGGTTTATAATTGAAAATAACATGTAAAAAGCTTGTTTTGAATTTCTCAATGGAATCTAAGAGACTGGGGGGGCGGTTCTGCATCCCCTCAGATACGGTACTTAATATTTATGCTTTCATTGCACCTTGACAAACATTTCACGTAGTTATTGCTTTGCTTGAATATGGAAATATGTTAATTATGGCCTTTATTGCGCTGCCTGCTCTTTTCCTCAGCCTTTTCTATTCAACCCTCTAGGTGGCCCAGCACAATGTGGCTTCTTTTCTTTCAATGAGCTCTTTCCACACTAATAGGGTCCAGGGTGATGTGGAGAACCATGTGCACAAAATTGGTGCACCACCCCCCATTCCTTTGTGGGCATGTCAGGTTAAATTCATATCAGCAGGAGGGTCACTGCCATGATTTTCAATAGCTCGAGATGAGGTGATGACTTCAGACAATGGTGCCACACTCTCCAGTTGGAGACACTTGCCTCACCAGTTGCAGTAGTTAATTAATATGCTAAAAATAGAAGCCAGTGATACAAATCGCTGCCTGTTGTACAACAAAGACTGGGCATGTGTAGCTTTGATAGCCAAGTTTATGGTGCTTGTTATGGAGGGAAGTTAGTTTAGAGCTAGAGGCAATGTAAGACTTTCTGGATGCTGAGCTTTAGTCACTCTGGGCCTCTGGCCATTCGCTCGCTGTCTCATTTGCATTATGAATGACATTAAGGGAGCTAACAAGGTTATTGGGCATAGAAATGTTCGCATGTGACCCCACGTGGAAGCAGACCTACAGCAGTGCTAGTTGGCAGGGACACTGTGCCTCTTTATTCAGCTTCCTAGGAAGACAGTTTCTGAGAGTGGATCTAAAATCAGCCACGAGAACACCGGCGTTCGGATAACGTGGAGGTCATGATGCGAGGCAAGGAATTTCAGAGGGCAGGTGGAGCTGTGTCCTTTGCTCAGCCCATTCTGCCTGGACATGGCACCTCCCTGCACCATCTTTTTACTACATCCTGCCTGAAACCCTGGACAAGGAGGGGAAAATTAAGGAAAATCAACTGCCCTGTAGTTCCTGTGCATAAGTGAGAGACTGTTTGGCATGTCCAAGATCAAATATGGAAGTTGCTTCCCAACGTAGGGGTGTGGTTATTCCTTACGTGTGTTTGTATAAATCCATAGTTTTGATCATAGAACTATTAAGCTTGGAAAAGACCTCTAAGACCATGGACTCCAACCCTAACCCAGCACTGCCGTGTTCATGACTAAACCATGACTCCAAGTGCCACATCTGCATGTTTTTTGAACATTTGCAGGGATGGTGACTCCGCCGCTTCCTTGGGCAGCTGGTCCAATGCCTGATCACCCTGAAGAGATTTTTCCTAATAACCAATCTAAACCTCTCCTGGCACAGCTTTAGGCTGCTTCATCTTGTCCTGTCCCTTGTTTCCTGGGAGCAGAGCCTGACCCCCAGCTGGCTGCACCCTCCTGTCAGGGAGGTGTGGAGAGCAGTAGAGCTCCCCTGAGCCTCCTTTTCCTCCAGGTTAAACACCCCCAGCTCCCTCAGCTGCTCCTCATCAGACTTGTGCTCCAGCCCCTTGCCCAGCTCCGTTCCCCGCTCTGGACACGCTCCGGCCCCTCAGTGTCCATCTTGCAGTGCCAGGCCCAGAACTGGACACAGCCCTTGGGGTGAGGCCTCCCCAGTGCCCACAGCAGGGGGACAGTCACTGGCCTGCTCCTGCTGGCCACACCATTGCTGGCCCAGCCCAGCAGCCATTGGCCTTCTCGCCCACCTGGGCATGCACTGTGGGCCAGCAGGCCCAGGCCCTTCCTTCCCTGCTGGGCTCTTCCCAGCCACTCTTCCCAGCCTGGAGCTGCTGGCGCTTCCTGTGACCCAGAGGCAGTACCTGGCACTTGTTCAACAAGTGCCAAGCACTTGGCCTTGTTGAACCTCATCTCTCTGGCCTGGGCTCATCAATCCAGCCTGTCCAGATCCCTCTGCAGAGCCTTCCTGTCCTTAAGGAAATCAACAGTCCTGCCCAACTTGGTGTCACCTGAGAACTGACTGAGGGTGCACTCGATCCCCTCATCCAGGTCATTTATCAAAGAGTACTGGCCCCAACCCTGAGCCCTGGGGGACACTACTGGTGACTGGCAGAAAGTGCAATCTTGGAAGTGTAATCCCCATTCCTTTGCCATGTGCTGAGATCAGCATACTCAGGGCTGTGTCCTGCACTGAGAATTTGGGAGTCAAGGTTCTCCTGTTGTCTCACTTGTTAGTGTGGGGCACTATAATTTAATTTCCAAGAGTCAGCTTTTCTATGTACAGTGGGTTCTTACTATTACAATACTGCATAAATTATTATTTTTATAATCATGGCATTCCATATTCCTTACTTCAGCCAGTGGGAATTTGCTCTTCAAAAGTGTCTGTCAGAGTGTGATGTCTGGTAGGAAGCAGCATACAGTGTTGGGCTTGCAGGTGGGAACCTCCTGGTGGCTTTGTGAGACAGAGAAATCCATGTCAGGGTTTCAACTCCTCCTTTTGTCTCCCCACTTCTAACACCCCATTCTGGTCCATCTGGGGGAATGTTATGTCCCAAGTGCCATTCTTACTGGACTGCTTCAATCCCAGGGATGTATTCCAGCCTGGAGAAGAACATGCTGTCTCCACAGCTATTGAAGTATGTGCCAGCTCTGAGTTTGGGAGGCTGAGAACAGCTCTCCATGTGTCTAAAACCTCAGTGGTTACACAGACATCAGCAGGGTTACAGAATTTGTGAACAGAGGGGATTTAGGATCTGCAGCAGGACAGTTTTCTGTAATCTGTTTCTATTGATGGAATGTATTCCTTGTAATTTATTTCTTTTTATGTATTACGTTGGTTTACTCTCCCTTCTGCTCCAGTTCCCCCAGATGAAAACTGGTAGAGAAAGGTTTGCTAATACTGAAAATTGGTAGAGAAAGGTTTGTCAATGAGTTATTGTTAAACCAAAGAACTTGCAAATCAAGTTTTATTTTAGGAATATATCAAGATGTGGGAGAGCTGGTATTTAGCAAGATAAACTAGTGCTGATAAACCAATGTCTGTGGCAGTATCATAAACCATAAAATTGTCTTATAAAGATCACAGGATTTTATTTTAATTTCTCTTCTGATTTAACAGATGTGTGAGAGGAAGTTCTGAAGTGTATTTTCAGCTTGTTTATTAAAAAATAGTAGTAATGACAAATGCAATCTTTGTTCTTTGATTTCATAGCTATGGGCTGAAAGTGTTCTCACTTCCTAATTGCTAAGGTAGTAAAGATGAACCGTTAATTAAAATCTCTTTCTCGGACAGGTCTTTAAATGCTGGAATTAATTAACTCTTTAAAAATTGACGTGACTAAAAATCTCATTTTGGTCCTTTGTGATACCTTATTCCAGTTAGTTTTCTAGTTATACAGAGAGATCTAATGTGACCAAGACCCAAATTTCTGACATAAATTACAGAAAGCCTCCTTCTTCTCTTTCCTTTTCTTTAAAACTAAGGAAAGACTATTAAAAATTGTCCAGGTTTACTTTATGCATCAGTGAGAATAAAAGACTGAACCGCATTTCCATTTTAATTTGCAGGTCTGTTCCCCCTCCTTTGACTGCTTGTGATGAGCAGTGTGACTAATGAGCTCCATGGGACCAAAAAGAGTGGCACTTTTCCCTTTCTTCTACTTCCCCGGGTTTTATTCTTGGGTGTGGTTTTTTTATGTTGTTTGCCTCTGATGTTTTGCAGCTTTTCTGGTCTGGGCTTGGACTAATTCCCAGATCTGTTCTTGCAGATTTTAACTTTGCCATGTACCCACCATCAATGATAGCAACTGGAAGTGTGGGAGCAGCCATCTGTGGCCTTCAGCTCGATGATGGGGACAGCCTCACGGACCTCCTGGCCAAGATCACAAACACAGATGTGGTGAGTGTTCCACATTCCTCTTCTTCTTTCACTTCCCAGGGTGTACTGGAGAACTGGGCCTGATCCTGAAGACTGAGTGGAGCAAAGGAGGGGGTTGCTTCTGCAGGGAGTTCAGAGTCTCCAAAGCTCATTGATTTCCTGGAATTCAGTTTTTATTCAGGCTTTGCCTGCCCAGGCTGATGGTCCAGCAGGCTGAGCCTCCTCAGGAGCCCTGGGTGATGGGGTGAGCAGGCAGCATTCCCTGGGGCATAAAGCAAACCAGGAGGCATTGTGCTGCTGTTGGTCCTGTGCCTGCAACCTTGAAACAGCTGTTCTGGCCCTTCTTCAGGTATCACCTAAAATTTCTTGGCTTGGAAGAAGTGAATAATGAGCTAATTTCAAAGCAGGAGGTGAGACAGGCACAATTCAAGCTGTCCTTAACATGTGCTAATTTATTGTTTTTAATTCACAGAGTAAATATGTGACATTATTACATCTGTGATAGCACTGTTAAATGAAGATTTGGGTTTGTGATTTGGTTAAAAAGGAGTCATTAGTCCAGGTTACTTAAAATGGGAGAATTTTGATATTTCTTTTTTTTCCTTACAATCATATTGATCCTAATTTTCAAATGCAATTCTGGGGTTTCCCATTTAATTTAATTTGAATTGGATTTGCACAGAAAAGGGAATATTTCCAATTCAGAGTGTTTGAAGTCTAAACCATAGAATCACAGAATGGCCTGGGTTGGAAGGGACCTTAAAGATCATCTCATTCTCTCATTCCAACCCCCCTGCCATGGGCAGGGACACCTCCCACTATCCCAGGTTGCTCAGAGCCCCATCCAGCCTGGCCTTGGACACTGCCAGGGATCCAGGGGCAGCCACAGCTGCTCTGGGCACCCTGTGCCAGGGCCTCAGCACCCTTGCAGGAAAGAATTTCTTCCTCATATCCAACCTAAACCTGCTCTCTGTCAGTGTAAAACCATTTCCCCTTGTCCTGTCACTCCAGGCCCTTGTCAAGAGTCTCTCTCCATCTTTCCTGTGGGCTCCCTTCAGGCACTGCAAGGCCACAATGAGGTCACCCCGGAGCCTTCTCTTCTCCAGGCTGAACAATCCCAATTCCCTCAGCCTTTCCTCCCAGCAGAGCTGCTCCATCCCTCTGATCCCCTTTGTCCCTCTGAGAGGAGGGACACCTGTGCCTGAGGGAGTTGTGTGTAAGCCCTATAAGGCCCTTTTGCTGCATCTTGCAATTCGGAAAGATTTTATCTACTGTGCTTTTCTATCCCGATTGTTTAAGTCTGAAAGAAAAGACCTACAAAAAATGTTAGTAGTTCTTAAGTGGTTAGAAGATGGGATTTTAATTTTGCAATGAAAATGCCTTCACACCTTTTCTTTTACATTTAGCTGGATTTTTTTGTCAAAAGTGTGCTTTTTGCCATCCTGGTGAAAATCTTCCCAGATCTGACTGTGCCTAAGTTCCTTCAGAAGAAAAAATTAATACTCCCCCCAAATAACAAAGAACTCGTAACATTTTACTGTTCCCATCTTCTCTTCAAGTCTGTCAGCATTGGGTAGAGACCAGCTTCCTTCTCTTTGCTCCTGGTCTCAGCCCAAGCAGCACAAACTAAAGAGAAGGGTCTCACGCATCCCCCAAATCAGAACAAACTCGTGACAAAATGAGCTTCTGGATTATTTAATTGCTAAAAAATACAAGCTTTTGCAGAAATTAGAGGAGCTGTTATTTTTTTGAAGGTGTTTTCCTTTGTGAGGCAGAGGCACTCTTAATTCCCTGCAAGCTTTGAAGCCTCAGCCTAACCTAAGGTTGCCAAAATATTTGAGTTTGGGCAAAATAGTGTATTTTTCATTAGCCTGCTGTTTCAATTTGGGAGAAATATTTTGCTAGGTATTTTCTCTGTGAGTTTTGCATTGAAAAAATACAAAAGGGGCCCGGACTGGAAAATTTCCTCCCACATGATAGAGCTTGAGAGAGAGAAAAGCAATTGAAAATGGGGTGTCAGAGAAGCATGGGGCAGGCTTAGCAATAGGTAGTAATACCAGCCTCATGTGTAAAATGTATTGTTGGAAAAAACCTACTGTCTGGATTGTGTAAGAGTTGGCCCAAGGCTGTGTCAATAAAGAGTAAAGACTATTGTAATACATTTTACACTGGGACTTAATTAAAGTTGAATGAAGAGCTTCAGTTCTCTCACTTCCGAATTTCTGGTGCCTGAGAGCTGTTCCTGCAATGGCACAATTAATTCATTGTCACTGTGTGAATGATTTTGTTTTCCAGTGGGGGCTTAGGGAAGAAGGAGAAATGAGAGTTCCTGGTCTTTAGGACCATCATGCGGGAGGAAAGTGGGGAAGTCACAGAAATGAACAGTTCTGCAGAGGAAAACCTTCTGGCCCCCTGTGTCTCATGGTAGCCCACAGGAACCATCAGGCAGCTGGGGAAGAGTCCTTCCCAGCCAGAGGGTGCCAGGGCTTCTGCTTCATTTTTGTATTGGAGCGTGTGATTGCTTAGCATGGAAACAGATGATAGGACTTTTCCACTGGCTTTTCAAAAAATGTCACTGTCTGAGGTGAAGCATGAAAAATCTCAGCTTCAAAGCTGCAAGCAGATGAAAAGGAAGAATGGTAATGAAACCCTGATGCAACTTAAGTGCAGTGAGCTTTTCTGAACTTTCACTGTTTTATAGTGATAATTTAAGGGTGCAGTTTATTTGCTGGGAAATAGCAGCATTAACCAGGAGGCTGAAATCAGTGGTGTTATTTTAGCTTTACATTAGGTAACTGAGTCTGGAGTTTGGCATGTACAACTAAAATGAATGTTTTTAATGGATGTTTCATTAAGAATTATACTAAAAATAGGTTATTAATAAGCAGCATGTAATTTAGAGCTGTTGGGTAAGCAGACAGCCAGCACGAGTGTTTCTTTCAAAAACACATTGGTGTTGGATATCCTTGCATGAATCCAGAGCAGTGCTCTAGACTTGAGATGGGGCTCAAGGCATCCTGGACTGTTATTTTAGGGATAACAGTTATTTCTGGTAAAAGCTGCCCTGGGCTCTTTGGTGAGGGTTGAATCACAGGCTGGAGAAAGTGTGATATCAGGGCCAGACAAACCCTGGTTTCATTACTCCTTCCACCGACCGGAATAAAGAGCAGGGAGCTGCTCTTGGAGAAGCTCAGCAGCCTGAAGGGCAGTGAAAGTAGCTCTGGGTGGTGCATCTGAGCTGCCTTCTCTGATTGCTACTGTCCCTCAGAGCCACTAAAAGCTAATCCCACACAAGTGAGGGAGAGGTTTCTCCCCTCTTCTCTCTTCTTGTGAGGCTCCACCTGAAATATTGCATGCAGTCCTGGTGCCCCCAACATATGGAACTGTTGGAGCAAGTTCAGAGCAGGCCACAGAATTGATAAAAGGAACTGGAGCAGCTCCCCTGTGGAGACAGGATGGGAGAGTTTGGGCTGTTCAGCTTGGAAAAGAGAAAGTTGTGTGGAGACCTCAGAGCACCTTCCAGCATCTGAATGGGCTACAGGAAAGCTGGAGAGGGACTTCTCATCAGGAACTGCACTAACAGGACAAGGGGGAATGGATTCCCTACAGAAAGGGAGTAGGTTTAGATAGGATATTAGGAAGGAATTAGAATTAGAATTAGAATTAGAAAATTAGAATAAGAATTAGAGAGGGTGTTGAGGCCCTGGCACAGGTTTCCCAGAGAAACTGTGTCCTATGCATCCTTGGAAGTGTTCAAAGCTAGGTTGGATGAGACTCTGAGCAACCTGGTCTAGAGCAAGGTTGCCCCTGCCCATGGCAGGGGGCTGGAACAAGATCAGCTTTGAGGTCTCTTTGAACCCAAACTGTTCTGTGCTTCTGACTCTAGCTTCACACAGCTCTGAAGGATGGGGATTGCATGTTCCAGTCTGTTGTCCTGCCAGGAGCTGGGAACATTTCCTTTGTGGTTGCTTGCAGAGGAGAGGCTGGTGAGCAAAGAGTTAACAGACTTACTAGCAGGAAGCCTCAGCGCTCCCTGTGCATCTCTTGGTGGGTCATTGCAAAGGAAAAATAAACAACTCAGGAAGTCAGGAATTCCCATAGCATCCCAGACCAGCACTCCAGTGTGAGCAGTATCCTGTCCCTGGTGGAGCCAGATGCTTTGGAGGAGGATACGAGCATCCCTGCTGTGCACAATTACGGGATGTGAGGAAGGATAGCTGAATGGGTAGGGCACATTTCAAGACCTTGCAATCAGTATTGTGCTTTGCTTGAGACCTTTCTTGGGTAAATCTATTCCCTCACCTCCTGGAAGAGCAGCCATCCAGGTTGCATCTGGATGACACACGGAGTTGGACTCTCCAGCATCAGCAGCCAGGGAGAGGTTTTCAGGCAGAGCCAATGCCTGTATGTGGGCAGAAGTCATCTCTAAAAGTCTGTTCCCAGATGGTAACTGGTGTATATTGAGTGGTTTGGAAAATCTAAAGCATATTTAAGGGCCTGAAGTAGAAAAAAAGCAAGGAACCAAGCATTTTTAAAGGCTTGTCAAAGCAGCTGGCCGTGAGCCCTTAAAAATGTGGAGTGGGGCTGGTTTGAAGACTGGATCCATAATAAATGGTATTTAAAATATCTCCACTTACACGTGCCGCATATGTCAGTGCCGGGATTTTTTTTTTATTCCCAAGATCAGAGACATCCCCTCATAAAGATCTGCAGATTTCTGCACAGAAACGGAAGTGAAGAACCACCATGCTCCAGAATTCAGAGCTGCAGTAAAAAAATCATGGAAATCTATCTTGAATGGATCTCATTTGAACGTTGTCCCTAGAGCACATACACCATTTATCCTCTCTTTTGTAGTGTCTAGGGCCTGTGGTTTTGGAAGCAAGAAACAGGACTCGCTGTATCTTATCCTGCCTTATTTGTTGCAGACCGCATTTTGTATGCAAGGAAACAACAGGCGAAATAGCCTCCCAGAGAAAGGAAGAATGAGATAGTTTCCTAAGTTGTCTTTGCCTGAGTTGGCAGCTGCTCCGTTTCATTCAGCTTTTTGTTCCCCAGTGAGTGCTGTGCGTGTGTAGCAACAATGGGGTGATGCAGTGACACCGCGGGCTCATGGCGGAGTTCCGTCGGGTCCCTTGGCAGCCGCGGCCGAGGGGAGCCAGGCCCCCGAGGAACAGCTCCCATGGATCAGCCACTCCGGCAGGGAATCAATCCTTGCTCGGCTCCTGCAGCTCTCTGTAATGCAGGCAGGTCCTCCCAGCTTTTTGAAAATCCCCTTTTTCACTAAACACTCAGAGTGTTTGTTACAACAGCATAAATCCCACACCTTTCCACCTTTTCATGTCTTCAAAGTATTACCTGGTAGAGATTCCCAGGAACCCCAAGTCACACTGAGCAAGGAGTGTCATGGCATCTGCCCCTGCATCACCCTGCTGGTAAAGCCCAATGTTGTCTTTACTCTCTCTTTTCCCAGTTCTGAAAACATTGTTCTCTCATGTTTGCAATGAGAAATACCCACAGCAGCAACAGGAAACCAGCAAACTGAGTGGTGAAGCAAACAGTGGAACTGAATCTAGAAAGGACGCTGTTGAAACTGCTGAAAAGACCAAAAAATTGCAGAGAAAAATGCCCTATATTTCAGATTCTTAATGTTAGCCACCTTATTTATTGCATTATTGCAATAATGTGGCAACAATAAGTGGAGAAGCTCTGGCATGAATTAGTTTTTTGTGGGTTTTTTTTGGTTTGTTTTGTTTTTTGAATGAGATGTCCTTGTTAGTCCGCTTGAGGTGTCCTTTGGAACAGGAAAATACTATTTTCTTTACTTCCAATTGGAAAAAGAAACATAGACACTTACCTGTAATTGATCTCTTTGTTACAGTAGCAAAAACATACATTCAGGAGGGAAAATAGTTCTGTTTTTCAACTGCATCCATTAGATGTGAGATCACTGGAAATACAGTAAATGGATAAGATATTCTCACATCAGCTTTCCAGGCTCTTGCTTTGGATAAGGTCAGTGAGGTAAAGGCCAGTGCTCAGCACACAAAGGCCCCACTTTGGGAAGGAATCCCTGTTTATGTCAACAACGAAGCATGTGCTTTGGAGAGGTCTGAATTGGGGCTTAAATGTGAACCAGTGGAGGAATCCAGCCAGCTTTTGTGTGTAGGAGTACAGATGACATGTTCCACACTGGAATTTATGTAAATCCAGCTCTTTAATGCATGTCTGATTGCTGCTTTCTTAGATTATCCAAGCAATGCGTACATGACCAATGAACAGTACTGTCATTTTGGGTATCTCCACCATCCTTTCCATTTATCAAACCAGATCCTGCCCCTAAAAATATCCTTTTCTGATTTTCTTTTTGCAGTTAGTTTTAAGAGAGAAGAAGATATTGGGGGCCTTAACACTTAATTGTGAAGTAATTAATATGTATTTGGAAAACTAACCTCCCTTCAACACAAAAATGCCAGAAGGCTTTTTCAGTATTCCCAGCTTTGGGATTTTGGGCAGTGCCAAGCAAGAGCCTGTTGGTTGAGTTGAGTTGAGTTGAGTTGAGTGGGAAGCCTTCCCTCATAGCTTGCCAATGAACCATAAATGCCAGTTTAAAACTGGAAACTGGGGGCCAGTATAGGACATACATGTACCACAGAAGTGTTGAAAAGTTCAAGAAAGTGAATTATGTGTAATATTCTGCAGAATCTTCCCTAGGGCTTGTGCTTTCTTTCAAGATTGTCATGAATGGAAATTGAAATCTTTAATGAATATTGACTTGAATAACTAGCTCATGCCATAGAGCTGCTCATTCCTCCTTCCAGTTATTTTCACTGCCACCATTTCCATCACAGCCATGAGGCTGCCCCTTACCAGACACAGGAGAGCTTTTCTTCTCCTTCAAATACTTTTCAAATGTGCTAGTAAAATCACCTAGGGATGAAAGAGTTTCAGAATGAAAAAAAAAAGAAACCCCAAAGTTAATTGCATTTTTAGTTCTGTACATGGTGAAGTATAAATAAAACTATGGAATGGAAAGTACCAGAACTATTTTAATCATTAAAACTACTAGACCATATAGAAGAATGGGGAAGTTAATCCATGTGACACACACTTTAAAAAGTTTTTTATAAAAACAACAAAGGCAAACCCTGCAGTATTCTGAAGGAATGGCCTCGTCCTTGTATTGCAAAATCTGGGGTCATACTGCAGTGCATTATAGTGTTCTTTCAAGGAAGATTTGTTGAAAATAATGTAATTCATGAGTTTTTTTCTTTGATATGTTCTTAAAACTTAATTCTCTGTTGTCAGAGACGTCTAGAACTTGCAAAATGAAAATCCACCAGTAAAAATATGCACACATGCAGCAAATCCCCATGAAACTTGGAGGGGTTAAAAATACTGTGTCATGGGAAGGCCAGGCTGTTTGTCCTGATGGGTTTTTAGTAGGGTTTTTTTGTATTGTGTCCCTTAACATTGGATTGACAGAAAGTTCCAGCAATGCCATCATCTGTACAATAAAGCCACTTACTTGCCTAATCATGATGTGACAGCTGGGCTGATAAGGTACTCTAAATTAGGTTTTTTTTCCTTTCACCTGAGAGATTTAACATCCAAGGAGCTTTAGTATGCAAATAACAATGCTTTTTTGGAAAATTGTATCATGCTGAATGCAGTGTGCTGGTCATTTTTACTGTAGGTTTCTTTGTTTTAAAGAATTCGGTGGTTTTAAGCTCAATATGTGTAGACCAGAGAAATAATACACAGTGGCCTGTGGATTCCCATATGAAATAAAATCCATGTGACAATTCCAGTCAAGGCCACTTCTATAGATTTTATGTACAAAATGAAGACACCAGAAATGACCCATTTCTCTATAGGGTTACCTGGAGATTTCAGCCTCTTCATACCTGAAATGAATCATCACACTACCCATCAGAAATTTGTACAGTGATGGTGTAAATGACCATACATGAGGGTGTTTAGGAACAGACAAAGCTGACTCCAAATGCTCGAGCCACATGTTCCGCATGTCACCGCCCTTCCTTCCCCAAGCCTGCCTGCAAGGAAATTGCCTCATTAAGCTTTTCAGACTGAAGCTGCTTAAAAAAAATCTGGCTTGTTTTCAGAAGGACACAGTACTTTGAAACTGCTTTAAAAGAAGAGGTTCTTATACCCCAAAAAAGCACATTACGAGTGTTGTCTGTTACAAGAGTCTCCAAACTGGTGCCCCCACACTTGAAAATGCCTTGACCCACACAGTGATTTGTTGTCATTGCCCTCTTACACACAGGTGAATGCTTACAATGGACCTAAAGCCCTCCCTAGCTGATAATGGGGGATTTTCTTTATCTGAGAACAGGATTTTGCAGCCAGCAGCTGCTGGCTGGTAGCCAAGAAAAATGGGTGTTCATTACCCACCGGAGCTAATTGCGCCCATCACAAACGTCAAGCGTGGCCAGCGGAACAGATCCTCTTCACTGGATGTGTTTTTCCCAGTCCAGCTGGGATGACAAATCAGTCCTCCACATATGAATATTTCAAACTCTCCCCAATAACTAGGTACTGTGTAGAAAAAGGGGTGTGTTGGTCAGGGCCCAGCTCCTCGGTGTTGCAGTCACATCCCAGAGTGGGTTGACAAGTGCCTGTGGAGCCCTGTGGAGGTCAGTGCCCCTTTCTGTTCTTCAGCTACCCTGCCTGGCAGTGGGAATGGTGATGCTCAGTCTCACCACCCCAGCCAGATGCTCTGGGGGCTCTGGTTAAAGCACTGTGCTGTGAAAATCCTCCTATCAAACCCTGTGATGCTCTATTCCCTGAAGACTTCTGGAGACACCCAGCTCTTAGGCAGGCTGAGGCCACAGGAAGTTTACAGTATTAGTGCCTTTTCCAGAAGGACTCCTCAGGGCTGCCTTTAGAAAATGCCATTTCTTGAAGTACCACGTGTCCCCCTGCACAGTGTCGGACTGATACTCCCAGTGCCAGCACACTGAATGTGGTTGGCATTGTGTTCATGCAGTCACAGCTTGAGTTTTATTTTTAAGTTTCTCCTATAACTCAGGGTTTGTCAAGGTTTTCTCACAATTTTCTTTCTGGTTAAATGACCACATTATGTGGTCTTCCAGTGTATTATCAAGAGTGTGGAACATCCTGTAAGTATTTTAATAGTTTTCTTCATCGCTGTGTCTGGTTTAAATGGGGGGAATCCTTCACATTTATTTCTGTATTTATACTTCATGTTTATTGTGGGACTCCTGATGGACAGGCTCCTATATTTATGTTGCTGTACTATACCCTGCTGTTTCCCTGAATGTTCTGTAGTTTTTAATGCAGTGGTCTCTGAGAACTGGTTTTATGTTCAGAAAATTATGGGACATGGCACTCAGTGCTCTGGTTGTCAAGGTGGTATTTGCTCCAAGGTTGGACTAGATGATCTCAGAGGTCTTTTCCAACCTAAATGATTCTACAATCAAAGACTAGTAAAATATTAAGATTTAGAGCCTAATAAATACAGCATGAACAGTGTTTGACCCAGGGAGTTTGTACAGAGTGATTACCTCTCAGAATTCAAGATTGATTCGTGTCAGAGCAGTTTTTTCTTGGAAACACCTGACTGATGCTCTTCCAACTTCTGCTAGCTCAGTAAGGAAAAAATAACCACCTTTGTCTTTACTAATAGAATAATTTGCTTTCTTTTCTCTAGGACTGCCTTAAAGCTTGTCAGGAACAGATCGAGGCGGTGCTTGTGAACAGCCTGCAGCAAGTCCGGCAGCAGCAGCAGCAGAGCAACCCCTCCAAGACAGTGGATGAACTGGACCAGGCCAGCACTCCCACAGATGTGAGAGACATCAACCTGTGAGGACATCGGCACACCAAGTCACGCTTGCTTCCCCAGACCCTTTATTTTTGTTATTATTTTTAGAGTGAAATTTTTTTAATCTGCTCCCACATAGAACATATTTAAAGCTCTTTTAGGTATAAAGAAAAACAAAAAAAAAGTACAAAAACTGAATAATGAAAAAAAAAAAAAGCGTTTGGTGCCTGTGATGTTCTACAGAAGGGAATCCCACGATATATTTGGTAATTGCTATTTGATTATGTATCAGTGATATTAAATGCTTATAAAAGCATACAAAGTAGCTAGATCAATGTAAGCCTGCATTTGTGGGAACAAAGTAGAGTATACTTGTCTGTGTATTATGAACTAGTGCATACACCCCTTTTTTAGATTTAAGAAAGGAATCGTGTGTGCGATTTTATGGCTTGACTAGATTGCAAAGCAATAGAATAAGGGGTTTAGGGCAAAGTGGGAAAAGATCCCTGAAGCAATTGAACCATTTTGAATGCAGAAGAGATTTGCTGATCTGTCACCTCTGTTATTAGTCAGAAGTGTTTGTTGGATCTCTGTATGTTAGTTTTGTTTACTCTTGCTGTCTGTGGTAGCTGCTACCTAAGAAAGAAGATGCTTTATTTTACCAGCCAGAA